GATTAAATAAAATGAAAAGCCTATGAAATTAGAGTTGAATTTTGAATTAAAATGTGATATTTCCAAAGTTGAATTGTGAATAGAAAGAGCAAAATTGTCAAGGAAACATGGGAATTTTAAAAGTTGTATCTGTGCAAGTTTAATAGCATATTTAAAATTAAGTAATGAGTATTATTTGATATTCTCTTTCACTTGTACATTTTTCATTTGAACCAGATACTTTAACTATTTTTGTCTGAAACCTGATTTTTTTGGTTACAGTATTTATATAGATTTGTAATAAGTTATGAAGTATCAGTTTAGAAGTAACTTTGTTGCTGTTTCCACAGGTTAGAGAATATTTTTCATCATTCTGAATGTAGTTCAATTGTAGGTAAGGATATTTAAACAGCTTTTAGAAGTGATAGTGTCAGTCATAATTTGATTTATTTTCTGTAGTGGAATTTAATTGGGGTATAGATGTTACATTCTAAGACAAAACCATTCAGTAAATAATATAAAAGTTCTGTAGTAGTGTCTATAAATTAGAAAAAGACTGTTTTACAGAATCTGTATACATTAGCATTAATGAAATTAACATGTATTCATGACCATAGCAAACTGTTTTGAACACTTAAGCATGTGCTTGGTGTTTGGGATGTATCAGTGAACATAACAAATGCCCCTGTTTTTGTAAACGTAGTGAGGAAAGACTGGCAATGAAAAACCAAACATAATCACCAAAGTAAATTATATATATTAACATATATACATATTAGAGAGAGATGGATAGATAGATAGATAGATAGCAGCAGGTAAGCAAATCAGGAGTGCCAAAGAGGAGGGAGTTGCAATTAAAAATGTAGTAGTCAAGGTGGACTTCATGAGAAAGGTGAGAACTGAGCAAAGACTTGAAGGAGATCAGAGCATTATCAGTACAGTTACATGTAGACACCACAAGTAGCCACATCAGGGGCTTAAGGTAGGAGCTCCTTGAAGTGTTTGAGGAGCAAAAACAAAGCCCATGTAATTTGCATGGAATGTATGAGAGGGAAGCATAGAATTAGAGGGATAATGGAGGAGGGAGACAGATCATGTAGGGTATTGTGGATGTTTTGGGAGTCATGGGAGGATTTTGAGCTTGCTTTGAGTTTTACTTTAAAAGAGTCACCACGGCCACTTTCTTGATAATATACTGTGGATCGGGAGGAAGAGTAGAAACAGGGATTGAATTAGGATGAGATTAGCAAGGGAATGAGTTCTAGATAGAGGAGAGGACCAAGAAGTGAGCCTGAGGCACCGTATCACACTAAGAGGTTGGGAGGAAGAGGAGAAACCAGCAAAGGAGACTGAAAAAGAGTGACCAGTGATATAGGAAAAGCTAAAAAAATGCAGTGTCTTGCAAGGCAAGGGAAGACAGTGTATGAAGAGGAAGGAATGATTGGCAATGTCAAATGCTGTTCATTAGCCAGGTTAAGAAAAGTGAAGACTGAAAAGTGGCCATGGAATTTAGCATGAGGAAGTTGACCTTAACAAAGGCAGTTTTACTGGAGTAGTGGGGTTAAAAGCCTGACTGGAATTAGTTTAAGAGAGAATGGAAAGATTGGTGGGGGCAGGGGCAATAAAGAAATGGAACAGTAAAGAAATGGGGTATCTTGAAAGTAGGGAGGGAGGTCAAGAAAAGTTTTTCTTTTTTTATTAATGGGAAAAATAACACCATGTTTGTATGCTAATGGCAATGGTCTGTTAAGACCAAAAAAAAAAAAAAAAAAAAAGTTGATGTAGGAAAGAGGTGGGAGAACTGCTGGAGTGTTGTGGAATCTAGAGCACAAGGAATGTGAAAACTCATTTTTAACAAGGATCAGCAAATTACAGAGTAGGGGCCCAGGGCCTGGGAGCTAAGAATGGTTTTTGCATTTTTAATGGCTATTATGTACCCATAATAATTAAAAATAAAAAATAAAATAAATTGGGGCTGTTTAAAAAATAAAGAAGAAAATGTGAGACCAATGTGGTCCACAAAGGCTAAACTATATACTGTCTGGCCCTTTATGGAAATAGTTTGCCAAACCCTGAATGATAACTTGGTGGAAAGCAGTGTGTTGGCTGCAGGTACTAGTAGATAGGTAAATTTAGTGGTGCAAGTCTGTGAAAGTTATGTTCTGATTGATTATATTTCCTCATTTGTGTCTTACACATGTATCTTACAACTCCAAGCTTGGAAATAAGTTAAACAATGTTGAAAACAATTTTGGTAACCCTTACCTTTCTTGTGAAGGGGCACTTTGTCTCTCCTGATGAGCTGGAGGAAGAAAAAGAAATGGAATATAATAATTGATAATGAGCTTCTTAGGACAGGACCCTGTTTCTTGGCTGGGTGCTTCCTCTTATATGTTTTGGCAAACTAAGGAGATTTAAGTGTAGAATATGGTGATAGTCCAACTGGAATTCTGTTTGATAGGCATTTGAAATCCATAGTTTGGAACTTCTGTTTTCATATATATTAGACCAATAGAAAAAATATGAATTTTATTTTTGTATCCCATAATCCAGCAGTAACTTACTTTTGTAGAAGCTTCTATACTATTGGATTCATTTTGCATAATCTTAAAAAAATTATCAATAAAAAGGCTATATTTATGCATAGGAAATATATAGTTTTTAGTTAATTTTTATAATGCTAAGCTAAGTGTGTATGGGAAGGTAAAGTAGTACAGCTATTGTAGAAAACAATATGGAGGTTCCTCAAAAAACTAAAAATAAAACTACTATATAATCAAACAATCCCACTACTGGGTAAATCCAAAAGAAAGGAAATCAGTATATCAAAAAGATATCTACACTCTGTTTATTGCAGCACTATTCACAATAACCAAAATATGGAATCAATCTAAGTATCCATCAACTGATGAATAGATAAAGAAAATGTGGTATATATACACAATGTAATATTATTCAGACATAAAAAAGAATGAAATCCTGTCTTCTGCAGTGGCATGGATGGAAATGGAGGTCATTATGTTAAGTGAAATAAGCCAGGCATAGAAAGACAAATATTACATGTCCTCACTCATATGTGGGAGCTAAGAAAGTGGATGTCATGGAGGTTGAGAGTAGATTGGTGGTTATCAGAGGCTGGAAAGGGAAGGGGGAAGTGGGAGATGAAGAGAAGTTGGTTAATGGGTACAAAATGCACTTAGATGGAAGGAATAAGTTCTAGTATTCAATGGTACAGTAAGGAAATTATAGTTAACACTAATTTATTGTATGTTTCAAAATAGGTAGAAAAGAAGAATTATGGTGTTCCCAATACAAAGAAAAGATAAATGTTTTAGGTAACGGACACCCCAGTTACCCTGATTTGAACATTATACATTGTAATGTATACATGTATCAAAGTATCACATGTACCCCCAAAATATGTACAACTGTTATTAATATAGCAATAAAAAATTAAAGAATCATAACAACTATTAATAAAAAAAGAATAAAAATGAATACCTAAAGCAAATAGAGAAAATTTCTATTTTCAAGAATGAAAGCTGGCTTTAAAAAAACAATTTTAAAATACAGAATAGCCCACTATCATTTAGATTAATCAATTAGTTGAAATTATTAAAGGCAATTGGACAATTAATTCCAGTAACAAATATCCTAGTCAAGTTAATGTATGTTATACATTTAGGTGGTTGAATCCTAATTTAGAGCAGGTATATTCTGAATGAGTCTTTATTAAAAATATCTAATATTGCATGTGAAATTTTGAGTTTATTAGTTATAATTCTTTTTGAATTTAATGAGTACTTGGATACAAGTGAATAAAAGTATATGCAAATTAAAAAAACAAAAATGAATCTTAGCTTATGATGTTATTTTCTTTTCTTGCTTTTAGTTACAATTTAGAAAGCAGTATATGGAATGTAGGAACTCTATCAAGGGGACCTCTCCAGAGGTATGGACACTCTCTGGCTTTATATCAGGTATGGCTCCTGCTTATAAAGTTTTGATAAGATAGTTTTAAGAGTTTACCTTAAAGGAAAAAATACTAAATCTCAGATGTATTTCAAACACCTAATGAGAACAATAGATTATGTGGATCACAATAACTGGAGATATCATATACTCATATAATATTTTAGTAAAAGAATATATTTTACAATTGGCCTTTGGACATGTAAAGAAATGAAGATTGAATTTTTGTCTATGGCTTTTTACCTCGTCATCAGGACAATCCCTTTTTTTTTAAAAAACATTATGATAAAATACATGTACCATAAAATTTACTATTTTAACAATTTTTAAGTATAGAGTTCAGTGGCATTAAGTACATAGATGTTGTATAATAGTGGCCACCATTATCTTAAAAAACTGAAGCAATAAGTCCCTATTCCCCCTTCCCTTTGCCCCTGAAAACCACCATTTCCTTTCTGTCTCTGTGAATTTGACTACTCTAGGTACCGCATATAAGTAGAGTGTTACGGTATTTGCTCTTTTATGACTGACTTGTTTCCCTTAGAGCTGATATCTTCAAAGATCATCCATATTCTATCACGTGTCAGAATGTCCTTCCTTTTTAAGGCTGAATAAATATTCTATTATATGTGTATACCACATTTTGTTTATCCATTAATCTGTTGATGGGCATTTGAATTGCTTCCACCTTTTGGCTATTGTGAATAATGTTTCTAAGAAAATGTGTGTACAGCTATCTGTTTGAGTTTCTGCTTTCAATTTTTTGGGGTGTATACTCGGAAGTGAAATTGCTGGATCATATGGTAATTCTATGTTTAATTTTTTGAAGGAAATGCCATATTGTTTTCCACTGTGTCTGCACCATTTTGCATTCCTTGCATTCCCAATCAACAGTGCATAAGGATTCCAGTTTTTACACAGCCTCACCAACACTTGTTATTTTCTATTTTTATTGTTTGATAATTGTTCCTAGTGAGTGTGAAGTAGTATCTCATTGTGATTTCGACTTACATTTCTCTCATGATTAGTTATATTGGACATCTTTTCAAGTGCTTATTGACCATTTGTATATCTTCTTTGGAGAAATGTCTATTAAAGTCTTCTGCTGTTTTTGAATTGGGTTGTTTGTTTTTTTATTGTTGAGTTGTATGAATTCTTTTATCTATTATAATATGAACCCTTAATCAGATATATGATTTACAAGTATTTTCTCCCCATCTGTGGGCTATCTTCTTACTCTGTTGACAGTGTGTTTGGTGCAAAAAATTTTTTAATTTTGATGTAGTCCAATTTATTTGTTTTTTCTTTTACCTGTGCTTTTGGTATCCATACATAAAAAATCATTGCTAAATCTAATGTCATGAAGCTTTTCCTCTATATTTTAAAAGTTTTTAAGTTTTATCTCTTATGTTTAGGTCTTTGTTCCATTTTGAGTAATTTTTATGTAATAGTGTAACATAAGGGTCTAATTTCATTCCTTTGCGTGAGGATAGCCAGTTTTCCCAGCATCATTTGTAGAAAAATGTGTCTTTTTCCCATTGGATGGTCTTGGCACCCTAGTGGAAAATCATTTGACCATATTCGTGAGGGTGTATTTCTGGGCTCTCTGTTAATTGATCTATAGGTCTGTTGTTATGCTGGTACCACACTGTTTTGATTATCGTAGGCTATAGCTTTGTAGTAAGTTTTGAAGTCAAGAAGTGTGAGACCTCCAACTTTTTTTTTTCAAGATTGTTTTGGTTATTCAGAGTTCCTTGAAATTCTATGGAAATTTTAGGATGGAGTTTTCTATTTTTGCAAAAAATGTTGGGATTTTGATAGGAATTGCATTGGAATTAGTTATTTTTGTGTATTTGTGCGATTCATGAATTTAGCATGATTAAAATGATAGGGCATTTCTCTGGTTTTATTTTTGAATCAACAAAAATCCATGTATTTTGTGGTCTGTGGCTAAGTCTTTTAAACCCAAATTTATATATTTTCTGTGTTTACATAAAAAAATTTGGAAAACAGAAGCCAATATGAAGAATAAAATACCACTCTTTATTTTCTATGCATATATGTTTTAAAATTAAATAAAAATTTCTCTATGTATATATACATATACATGTTATTTTATCTTCTTTTAGTTTTAGTTTTTTGCTTTATCTCTTTTTTTGTAAAAATAGCTTTTTTTGAGATATAATTGATATACAGTTCACTCATTTAAAGTGTATAATTCAATGGTTTTTAGTATTGTGAGAATTGTGCAATCATCTCTTACAGATTTGTATATGATCACAGAGTTGTGTAATTAATTTTAGGACATTTTTATCACTTCACAAAGAACCTTGTATCCTTTAGCTATCACCCCAAACCTACTTATCCTCCCAACTTTAAGCAATCACAAATCTACTTTTTTGTCTCTCCATGTTTGTCTATTCTGGACATTTCATATGAACAAAATCATATACTATGTGGCTTATGACTGGCATATTTCACTTAGCATAATGTTTTCAAGGTTTAGCCATATTGTAGCATATCAGTACTTCATTCCTTTTTATGGCTGAATAATATTCCATTTCATGGATATACAACATTTTGTTTATTTCTTCATCAGCTGATGGACATTTGAGCTGTTTCTACCTTTTGGCTGTTATGAATAATGTTGCTATGAATATTAGTATATAAGTTTTTGTATAGGCATATGTTTTCATTTCTTTTGAGTATATACATAGGAGTGGAATTGCTGGGTCAAATGGTAATTCTATGTTTAACTTTTTTGAAGAATTACAGACCATTATCCAAAGTGGTTGTACCATTTTACATTCCCACCAGCCATGTATGAAGGTTCCCATTTCTATACATCCTTGCTAACACTTGTTAGTATCTGTTTTTTTGATTATAGCTATCCTCTTGGTGTGAATTGTTATCTCACTGTAGGTTTTTTTTGGAAACAGAGTCTCACTCTGCTGCCTGGGCTAGAGTGCTGTGGCGTCAGCCTAGCTCACAACAACCTCAAACTCCTGGGCTTAAGCAATCCTTCTGCCTCAGCCTCCCGAGTAGCTGGGACTATAGGCATGTACTACCATGCCCGGCTAATTTTTTCTATATATTTTTAGTTGCCCAGTTAATTTCTTTCTATTTTTAGTAGAGACGGGGTTCTCACTCTTGCTCAGGCTGGTCTCAAACTCCTGACCTCAAGTGATCCTCCCGCCTCAGCCTCCCAGAGTGCTAGGATTATAGGCATGAGCCACCACACCCGACCACTTTCATTGTGGTTTCGATGTGTATTTTCTTGTTAACTAATGATGTTGAGCATCTTTATATACATATTGGGCATTTGCATATTGTCTTTGGAGAAATGTCCATTCAAGTCTTTTGCCTACTTTAAAATTAGATTATTTGTCTTGTAATTATTGAGTTGTAATGGTTCTTTATGTATTCCAGGTTCAAGTCCCTTATCAGATATATAATTTGCAAATATTTCCCTCCATTTTCTCTGCTGTTTGACTTTCTTGATTGTATTTTTTGAAAAGCATAATTTTTTTTGTTTTGATAAAGTGCAATTTATTTTTGCTTTCCTTTTGTTGCTTGTGATTTTGGTGTCATATCTAAAAATTCATTGCCAAATCCTGGGTCATAAAGATTTACCCTATTTTTTATTTTAAGAGTTTTATAGTTTTGGCCGTTACATTTAGTTCTTTGACCTATTTTGAGTTAAGTTTTGTATATGGTGTGCAGTAAGGATTCAACTTCATTTTTTTGCATGTGACTATCCAGTTTTCCCATCACCATTTGTTGAAGAGATTATTCTTTTCTCTTTGAATGGTTTGGACACTCTTGTCAAAAATCAATTGGCCATAGATACATGGGATTATTTCTGGACTCTCGGTTCTATTCAATTGATTTATTCTAGCAGTACTCTGTCTTGATTACTTTTATTTTGCAGTAAGTTTTTGAGAAGTGTGAGTCCTCTGATTTTGTTCTTTTACGAGATTGTTCTGATGTTCTGCAACCTTTCAATTCCATATGCATTTTAGAATCAATTTGTTAATTTCTGCAAAGAAGCCAGATGAGATTCTGAGAGGGATTGTGTTGAATCTGTAGGTCAACTTGGAGAGAATTGCCATTTTAATAATGGAGAGTCTTCTGACCCATAAACATGAGATGTCTTTCCATTCATTTAGATCATTTAAAAATTTCTTTCAACAATGTTTTATAATTTTCAGAGTATACATTTTAGACTTCTTTTGTTAAATTTATTCCTATTTTATTCTTTTTGATGCTTTTGTCAATGAAATTATTTTCCTAATTTCATTTTTGGATTGTACATTACAAGTGTTTAGAAATACAATTTACTTATATACATTGATCTTGCATCCTGCAGTATTGCTAAACTCATTTATTAGCTCTAAGTGTTTCCTTTTATTTCTTAGGATTTCCTATATACAAGATCACGTTATCCATGAATAGAAATATTTTACTTCTTCCTTTCCAATCTGGATACCTTTATTTAGTTTTTGCTTATTTGCCCTAGCTAGAACCTCCATTACAATGTCGAATAGAAGTGGCAAAAGTAGGCATCGTTCGTTATGTTGTTCCTGACCTTAGGGGAATGCATTCACTCTTTCACCACGAAGTATAATGTTAGCTGTGCGTTTTCCTTAATATTCTTTACTATGTTGAAGAAGTTCCCTTCCATTTTAAGTTTGCTGAAATAGTGATGACATATCATTTATGTATCATTTATTTCCATTGTATGGAATTGAAATTATTTGTGTAATTTGTAAGTACTATGAAGATTTACCAAAGGTGAACTGAAGGCAGTGTAGCATCTTCCCATAGCCATGAGAAATGGTAATAAAAAAGTACTCTACATGATGCACAAATGTGGTCTACCTTTTTGGTGAACAGCACTTGATGAAAACAGTGAATAATTGAGGCTACCACAAAGAAGTACAAATGGATGGTAGAATTCCAGTATAACAACTAGGGATTCAGATCATTCAAATATTGAAAAGACTATCTCTGAGTAATGTTAATCAGCAGCTTAGTTTGTTACTTTTTTGTTGTATGGAAGGAATAAATTATTGTTATAGAATTTCTTTACTCTTTAATTTTAAGTTCCTAATTAGCTTATTGCATTTTTTATTCTCCCAATAGTACTGTAGTGTTCTCTTCCTATATGATATTTAAGAATATACTTAATTGACTATATAATATAATAGTTTTGAATAAAATATCTTAAAATAACTTTTTGAAAGCTTGGATATTTCCCCCCTTTGTGTATGTAAAAGTATTACTCATGTGCTCCCAGGTGGCTTTTTGCAAATAAGGATTATGCCTTTTGCATGTTGTGAGCAACTCCTAAAATTTAATGTTTAAATTTAGCCTTTATTTTTAATTAATATATATTGCTAAGAAATAACTCTATTTTATTTATTAATATATATATTTTAATTTACAGGAAAACATCTTTATGTATGGAGGCAGAATTGAAACAAAGGATGGCAATGTCACAGATGAATTATGGGTTTTTAACATACATAGTCAGTCATGGAGTACAAAATCTCCTACTGTTATTGGACACGGTCAGCAGTATGCTGTGGAGGGACATTCAGCACATATTATGGAGTTGGATAGTAGAGATGTTGTCATGATCATAATATTTGGATATTCTACAATATATGGTTATATAAGCAGCATACAGGAATACCATATCTGTGAGTTACTTTAAAAATATAATTTCTTTATTGGTTGAGAATATTTTTATCTTTAATAAAATCTTAATATGAGTTTAGTAAAAATGATGAATTGAGATCAAAATTATAAGCTAAGAATTAATTGTTAATATACATGTTTTGATTATGTTAGATTTTGTCCTTTAATATTTAAGCTTATCTTCTTAGCCAAACTAGGAGAAATGTTACATACTAGTCTCATTTTTCAAGATTTGAGAATATTTTTAAATATGAAAAATTCCAATAGGTGGTGCTGTTTCTTTGGATTTTACTTATGAACCAAGAGCTGAAACTGACCCAATCTCTTTACTGTGCATTACGTGATTTCAAGATTTTTCATTTTTCAGCATTCTATTCCCAATCTTATTGCTATATCTTTATGTACGTATTACTCCTTTAAAATAAGCTTCCCAAGGATAGTCTGTTGGCTTCTATAAGAGATTGTTATCTGGTGTGTGAAGGTGACTAGGGCAATCTTCATATGGCTTTCTGTACTATACTTTTATTCTTTTTGTTTTTCTGGTATGTTATGTTTTTGAATTCTTTATGAGATTTTCAAACAGTGGTAATGTTTTTGTTGTTTTTAATTTGTCTTCAAATATATACCCTACAGTCACTATTCAGATTCAAGAACATACCCCATTTCTGGCTCTGGCCAGTATTAAGGACTCAAATTCTTTGTTCTTTAGTGTAGCTATATATACAACTATTTAGAGTCCCTGTAAGTCTTAATGAGAAAACTCATTTGCAGACCACCATTAGCAACAAGAGAGTGCTTATGTACTCAGAGAAAGACTCCCCTTCTAAATACTCCAGTTTCCCCTGCAGTACTTTCATGTGATAGCTGTTTTTGTTTTCATACCCTCAGTCCAGCTAGGTTGAAAGTAGGCTGTGTATCCTTCTTACCTCTTATTGCCATTTCCACTCTATTCTCAATCCCTCCTCCTTTAAATCACCTGGCTTTAAATCTTGTGTCATTAGACTATGCTACCTATTTCTTTACTTTCTGCACTCATCTTTTGCTCCTCAGATTGTTGTGTTTTATTTCTTGAAGAATTTAGCTTCTGGCTCACTGTCATTCTGTCTAGCATATAGCTAAATATTTTAATGATTGAAATATCCATTTAAATACCTCTTCTAATACCTGGCCTGCCAATTTCTTGATCTCCTCAGTAAAGATCTTGTTTTCCATCCTACTTAAACCACTCTCTCCCATTGTCATACTCTTGACCTTGTCATTCCAGTACCTGCAAGGAGTCCCAAAATTTTCATTTCAAATATCTTACTGTTCAAGTACCCCTGATCTCCCAGCTCACTGATTCTAGCACCCACATTCTGACTGTTCTTTGACCTTACCAGAATCTTTAGTCCATTGAACCTCCTATCAGTTCTTCCACTATCTCTCACTCTCTCTTGTCTGTATTTCTAACCTTACCCAGCTTCAAGTTCATAATTACCAATATCAAGTTATTCTTTAATGATGTGTGGTACTTACCCAGATTTAAGTTTATAATTGCCATTCTCAAGTTGGCCCTTAATGATGTCTTGAATTTCTACCAGTCTAGCTTGATCTCTTCCAGCTCTCCTGTATGACTATTTTATACATTTCCTCTCTCCTCAAACTTCCAACCCTTCTCTATCATTACTCTTAGCTGATGACCTCCCTTCTTATTTTACCAAGAAAATAGAAGTAATCAAAAGAGAACTACTGATGGGAACATGTTGGAGTGTAAAGATAGTTAGTAATGCTGCATTGAAGAAGCTTGCTTACATACATCACTATCATAACAAACTCATGATAACATTGAAGCAAATGTGGCTGAGTTATTCTAATTTTTCAGATGGGCCCAGGGGTTGTTTAAGCAAGAATTATAAATTTTTTGTGTAGAAGGGCTGTTTTGTTTTCTGAATCTGTTATTAGTTTTTGGTTTTATTATAGTGTTCAGGAAATGTAGGTATTAGTTATACTTTTTTGTAATTTATTGAAATTTTCTTTGTGGCCTAATTTACATAAATATTCTATAGGCACTTGAAAAAAGATAAAGCCTTATATAATATCAAAATATGGAGTTCAACATATATATTTATCAAATCTACTTTATTGATTATATTGTTTAGGCCTTCTGTTAACTACTTGTTTTGTACATGATCTGTCTTGCTCTGAAAGTTGAATTAAAGTTTTAAAATTTTAGTCTATTTTTTGCCTATTTCTCCATGTATATTCTAGAATTTGTTTTATGAAAGTTGCTAGTATAGATATTAATAAGTGTTACATGTTTATTGTGATTATATCCTTTAATGTTATAAAGTGATTTGCCTGTTAACGTTTTTGACCTGAATTCTACCTTATCTGTTATTATTAATAATATTATGGCCCTTGGTTTTTTTTTTTCTTTTTTGTCAGACTTTTCCTGGTATGCTTTTACTCATTACTTTATTGTTATTGTTTAGTGTTTCAGAATCACTTTGTTTTAAATGTATTTCTTGAGGAGAGAGTTGGAATTTGCCTCATGTGATTCCCGTCTTTTTTTGTACGTTTCCTATACATGTTTTATGTTTTTAAAAGTCATTCTGTTGTCTTTTTTTGTTGTTGTTGCTTTTAATTATAGCTCTTCTCGTGTTTAGGCTCCCTTCCTCCCTTATTTTTCTTTTTCTGTTGGAATGAGTTTGGTAATTTTTGAGATTTGCTACCATTAGTTTCCTCCATGCTCCTTGTTTCTCATCTTCCTTTCTGCATTGTTGTGGCTTTCTGTATCTGGCTGTCTTGGTTTCACTTGCTCATTGAGCGCTTATACCTAATCTGGAGTTGGTAGGGATTTTTTTTTACCCTCCTAATTTCTCTGGAAATATAATTTTCTTTTTCTTTCACTTTACCCACCTCCCTCATATTTTCCTTTTGTTTTATGTCTTCCCTGAAGAGAATGGGAAGAGTCAGAATTAAACCATCACAACTATCACCATGCTTGTACTTGAAACATAGGTTTTTTTTTTCGAGACAAGGTCTCACTCTGTTGCCTGGGCTACAGTGCAATGATGTTATCACAGCTCACTGCAATCTCAAACTCCTGGGCTCAAGTGATCTTCCTGCCTCAGTCTTCCAAGTAGCTGGGACTACAGGTGCATGCCATCATGCCTAGCTAATTTGCAATCCTCCTGCTTTGGGATCCCAAAGTGCTAGGATTACAGGTGTGAGCCACCATGCCCTGCTGAAATATAGGTTTTGACTTTTGAGGTTTTAAAATGAATACTGAACTTAGTGTAAAGTTAACCAATACTTTTTCTCTTTGATCAATTTATAGACTATTGTTTTCTACTGTTTTAATTAATTTTGTTTTGTTTCAATCACAAATGACATTATTATCATATTTAATACCAGGAGCCAGCAAAGTTTTCTATAAAGGGCCAGATAATAAATATTTTAGGCTTTGTGGGTCATATAGTCTGTCACAACTAATCAACTCTGCTGTTGTAGCATAAAAGCAGCCATAGACAATACATAAATAAATGGGCATGGTTTTATTCCAATAAAAATTTATTTACAAAACCAGGTGGTGGCTAGATTTAGCCCTTGGGCCTTACTTTGCTTATTCCTGCTCTTGGAAGAGAGTATGCTTCTGGGGTCCCAGCCACCCTGGTCCAATTTAAATTAAAATTTGGCATGCAGTTGTTTTGGACATTGTATGTAGGGAGATTTCATGCCCCAAAGTGGCATGGTATCTAGTCCATGGCTGAAAGTTCCCCGGGGAACAGTCGTTTCCTCCATCTGGAGCCAAGGCTGAAACAGATGATTTCTGTCTGCCTCTGCAGAGCAAATTTTTAAAAATTCACTTTTTCACTGAGGTTGTACCTTTTTAAGCCTCTGACTTTATGTAGTCGTTCCCTGATCCAGTACCTACATGGGCTTACCTTCAAAATGGCCATTAAAACTGAATTGCTAGGCCACTTGATTGGTATATACCTTCCCCAGTGAATATAGTTTATGCTTCATAGTACTGAATATATTTTACCCTTTTCATATTTCTCTGTATTAAATTATAGTCTCATTCAGCCATGAGACAAAGTGGTGGTTGCCCTTTCCATGGACGTACAGGAAAGCACAACAGATTTATTCTGATCAACTATGAATGATAAATGTTGATATAGGTTGTTAGGTGATAAATTCATTGGCTGGTAGGTTTTTGTTTTCATTTTGAGATAATCTGATTATAGAATGTGAATTGTAGTTTCAGTGAATTTTAAAATATTTCTGTATTGGGTTTCTTTTCTACAATATCCTGTATTGAGTCTTATTCTACAACCAAAATACTATTTCTAAATTAATTTACCAACAGAGTATTTTTGGCTTGATTTTTGTCTTACTAATTGCATTACTTTACAGGTATACTTAGGAATGCAGCATAAAATGGAAATGGGGAAATACATGATTTATGAGTTTTATAAGAATAACAGATGAATTATGAGCAGTTTTAAAATTCTGTGAATTATTTAAGTACAAAGTAAAACCCATCAACTTTTCTGTAAAATTATATCTTAATAGCAAAACTAATTTATACTTTATTTGTTACGCATTTTGAATTTGCTGCTTAGATGTTGAAAGTATGTAGTGTCAAAAAAGTAATCTGTAAGTACTTTCACTTTGAAAAGTACTTACAAAGAAAAGAATCCAAAAGAATGGGTAAATATAGTTTAAAGATACTGTCAGAATAATTAAGTTCATTATAGAAAAGTGCTACTTTAGGAAATGACACTATATGAAGTAGGGTTGCTTTGACTATAAGTAATGGGAAAATTTATCATCTTAGTTGTAAGATAAATGCTCTTAATCTTCACAAAGAGGTTTTTTGTTTTTTTTCTGTTTTTAGTGAGAACTGCTATAACTGTGATGATATTTTAGATTCTTCTTCCTGACTGATTTTAATAGTATCAACTACCCAAGTATAGATGGGATTTACTTTGAGCATCCTTACACATTTAAAGCTTCT